CTTGGCTCGTTGTGGTGTCTTAACTGTTGTAAATCACCTTGCCTGTCAGCTGTGCTGATTTCTCTAAAAGTATTTACATTTATTTGTTAAGATGATTTTAATCTGACTGTTGTAGAAATCTTTTCCATCCATCCACGTTGATATCATATATAATTTACAGTTAAGTTATGAGTTAAAATTGTTTTGTTTAAGTGGATTTAAAGTGTTGATTTTATTAAATGTAAATATGCAGTAGCCTTAATCTTTATTATTTATTAAATCCTTAATTAAAGTTGTATTTAAAGAAATTGGTTATCTAGGTCTTTGTTGTGTGAATTTCAGTTTTTGCATTTGATCACATATACAGGATGGGCCATTTATATGGATACACCGTAATAACATGGGAATGGTTGGTGATATTAAAGTCCTGTTTGTGGCACATTAGTATATGTGAGGGGGCAAACTCCTCAAGATGGGTGGTCACCATGGTGGCCATTTAGAAGTCGGCCATCTTGGATACAACTTTTGTTTTTTCAATAGATTTTGTTCAGTGATGAGGCAAACTTTTATGTGAATGGTGAAGTTAATTTTATGTGGCCAAAGGTAAAACTTTTGGGTGTTTTTTTTTTTCTTTTTTTTCCACAGCTGTCACGTTTTGACACCTCGGTTCTCTGGGTTTTCCTGCAAAGTAACAAAGAGATTCATAAAATGTTATCTGGCAATTTAATCCATTCATTCAAGTTGAGATTTTACAGGCTCAAAAGATGTGCAGCTCTTTCAACACATTCTTCAGAAAATGGCATCTGATCTTGTGGTTACATGACTGTGTGGTCAGGTCATACCTGCATCTGAATCTACATAAACCAGTTTCATATTTTTAAACATGCCCTAAAACATAAACTGCTGTGTGGGATGTATATGATTTTGCAACCATGAGGTGGCAGCATTATCCTGCATTGCTTCTGAAAGGAGTCCAAGCATCAGTAAAGGATACTTTTTAATTTGAAAGTGAGTGAAAAGAAGTGTAATAAAACAGATGCGTTCTTATAGCATTATCATTAATAAAAAGATGCTCACTATTTTGTACTTCATGGGTTTGTGTTCCGGTGGACTGGATGCCTGTTTTCATTTTTTAAATATATTTATATATTTTTTGTTGTGTTAAAAAGTAACATTTCTGTACAGTCTCCCTTTAATCAAGCCAAGTAATTAGATGTTCAAAACGAAAAAACGACCCCCTTTTAACTGTTTCAAGTCAACTCACTACAGTCTGTTTCACAAGTGTGAATAGTTGATGTCATAGCCACTGTCAGTGTGGGGCCTCTGATGAATGTAAAGGCAAAATTCTTAGAAAAGTCTTCAGTTATTGAGTTTTAAATGGCTCACATTAGCATTGTTCTACAGGTCTGAACAATGGCTGTGTGGGAGGTTCATTTAGAAATAAGAGTAAAAACTACTTCTTCGTGTGGTTTAATGACTGCGCATTAAAAAAAGACAAAGGTTATTGAGAATTTATAGTGATAACATTTGCAAATGGGTATATGGCGATCATTTTGACCTGTTATTTATTTTGCGTTTGACCTTCAGAGGCCAGAGCTGCTCTGACAGAAGCAATGTCTGCTATGTTGTAGTTAAGATACAAAACTTAAAATGCTTGTCTTAGTGTCTTTGTATCAACTTTGCAAATGATTATTATCTAACATGTTGCCTTCAGGCTTGGGCACTGTTTCATGACTGAAAGTTATTGATTGACTTATCCCTGATGACTAGTCCTTCCACTTGGTTTAGGCTCCAAATAAAATAAAAAAAAGAAAAATTAAAAAGTGAAAAATAAGATATATTGTTTTTGTTTTTTAACTGAACTTTGTGATAAGGTATTTTAACCTTTCAAGATTTAATGCCCTCAAAAGCCTTCAAAAGATAAGGTTACACATAAGCTGCAGAGAGACTGTCAGTTTTTTTTTTTTAATGATTTATTTATTTATTTTAAACATCAGCTAGCATTCTTATCAAGTTAGTGTCAGATGTTTGGCTTCAAAAGAGATTCAGAAATATTTGCTGACATCTTGATCCCTCTTTTGCAATTAGAAATTTGTATTCCTGATCACAACTGTGCCTGCTTCCCCTATCATAATGATAAAACACTCACATGTGTGGAAGGTTTTGAAACCTCTCCCCTTGCATGCCGTGTGCAGGCAGCAGACGATTGCTCAGTTTAAACAGCATCTGTTTCCTCTGTAACTTATTGGCAGGTTGGTTCAAAGAAAGTTCATGACAAACATCTCTGACATTTCTGTAGCCTTTATTTTAGGAATGGAAAACTATTTAAAAATGACATCACATATATAAAAAGAAAATTCTAAACAGTTACATGTTTGCGAGTGTAACACAGGTCTTAAATACAGATTTCACTGTAACGGTTAACCTGGCCTTTCATTAACGTCTGTCAAAATTATGCTCGTGCCTGAAATCCATGCACACGGCATAGTCTGACCCCAAACGTGTATTATCTTCAAGCAGAGAACATGCAGAACAAAAATCAATTGTTGCTTTCTAACTTTTAAACCATTTCCCCTTTCTTAATGTGTCAATCCAAAAGCCACATCCACAGTAAACAACTTGCAAAATGAAAATAGACTGTTATTCTAATGAAATGATATACATGCTGACTGGAAGGTGTTACAATCACATTTTCATTTTGTGACATGAGGTCAAAACACCGCCACCTTTACCAACAAGCATCAAATATGTAGAAAACTGCATTTTTTTCCTAATAAGCATCAGGAACCTTTAGAGGGCGTTTAAAAGATTGTGCTGTCTAGCCTGTGCCCTTTTATCCCTGTGTGACATATCCAAGCACAGTTTGTGTTGGTGTGTTCGGTCACTGAGCTGAACTGTCGCCGAACTCGGTTTTCACTGCGTCCACTAGAAAACTGAGCTCATTGCACAGAGTCTCGTAGCGATAGGCCATGCGGATTTGTGCTACATTTGTCCGCCTGATGTCATTGCCGTTCGGTCCATCCTGTAGGTAGTTGGGCCCAATGAAGTGTTTCTTCTCCTATAGGGAGCACAGTTAAAAAGATGTAGGTTGGAAAGTTGCAAATAGATATAATATTTTCCAGAATTAACTCATTGCACAGAATAAATATGCAGTCAATGAAGTCAGTACTATTGGACTGTCAGACATTCTCTTATCTAGCTTTTCAGTGGTAATAGGATGGGTACTAATTTTAGGGTTCTTCTTGGATGTGCCAATTTACATTTTTGTGAGCAATAAAGTTTTCGAAAGAAATTACTGGAATATTGTAGAATTACTGGAATATTGTAGAATTTTTCTTTCAGTAAGTCTGCACTGCTATTTAGTGCCTCAAAAAAGTATTTGACCCCTCATTTGGGTTACACAAAGAGAACCCAAATACAGCAAAAAAAAGCAGTTTTTAAATGATGATTCCATTTATTAACACAAAAACAAACCTATCTGACCCTATGTGAAAAAAGTAATTTCCCCTAAACCTAATAACTGGTTGTTAACTACAGTCAGTCATTAGCAATAACTGGCAATGAGTCTTTCAAATCGCTGTGGGGAAATTTTTGTTCATTCTTTGTTGCTGATTTGCTTTAATTGAACATGAACAGCGTGTTTGAGGTCATGCCAAAGCAACTCAATTGGATTTAAGTGCAGACTTTGATTGAACCGCATTAAAGCCTTTGTTTTAGTATTTTTGAGCAGTGCAGCTGATGGTGTGTTTGAGATCATCATCCTGCTGTTTAAGCCCAAGTCAGTTTGAACTTCAGGGCATGAACTGATCTTTTAATAATAATGAAAAGTCCCGCTCCTGAAGAAGCAAAGCAGCACCAGACCATCACACTACCACCTTTATATGTGACTGTTTGTATAAAGCATTTTTTTTTAAATGAAATGCTGTTTGTTTTACACCAGAAGTAACAGGATTTCAAACTTCCAAAAAGTACTGATTTTGTCTTTTTAAACAACCCTCGCAGCAGATCAACTTGAGTTGATGTTTAATACAAAAGTATGGGACAAAAAAATAAAGACATTTTTATTTTTATCTATTATTTTATCCATTGTATCTGTTGTATCAAATGCATCATTTTACAATAAGGACTTTTAAAGAGAGCATCCCCCAAGCACAAAAGGTCTGACCTTACCTCATGTGAGAGGCCGCTCTGCACGACACTGTTCCTGGCAATCTCACACAAATCACAAGTGCTCAGCTTCCACAGCTGAGCTGCAATGGCATACTCCTCCATCAAGGCCTCCTGAAATGTTTCAAAAAACTGATATTAACAAATGAAATGTTATGATTAGGCTGGCAGGTCTATTTGTACAGCACCCTTCAAGAAGAGAGAAATTTCTTGTATTTCTCTGTGCACCACATACTGACAGTGATTATTCGATTAGTCTCACAGAAGTCACCAGACTGGAGCAAATTACTGTGATCAAAGTGACTGTGAAAAGGTAAATAAAATATTCTCCTGTGTTTCTGACCTTGGTGTAGTGGAACTGCATGGGGTCGTCGGTGGACAGGGACACACACAGGCCCTTGTGCAGAAACTCTCTCAGGGGGTTCTTGGAGTACTCCAGGAACAGGCTGTTGTTGCTCAGTGGAGACATGGCAATTGGGACCTGGGCCAGGTAGTATAGATACTGCAACACTGGGCTCTGGCGAGGAGACACAACACAGTAATGCGAATAGAACGATTTTGTTTTGTTATTTTCATTTTATTTGTGGGAAAACCTAATGAAATTACAAGCAGAACAAGTAGAAGTTCAAGGGAAACGTTTTGTAGATGGTGCAGACACGCAAGTCTTCCTAATTATAAGAAGTTATTCAAAACTAAGCGTTAAATCAATATTGACTTTCTCATCAAAATTCAAAAGGTTTTTGTCCTGCAAAGTTTTTGAGTTGTCACATTGTCTTTTTTTCCTTGCAGATGTGCATAAGTAGATGACAAGATGTTTAAATGGTGCTTTTAGAAACCATATCTTATGTTATGACACAACAAACCTTGGGCTATGGAGCCCAGAAGATGGCAGCACTCCCCTCTCTCTCTGTGACAGAGAAAAAGCTTTAAACATGCACTCTGGAAAGTGCTTGTATGGAAGATGTGTCCACGTAAACTGACATAACTGACTGGAGCAACATGTAGCCACATTCTTTGCACAGGCATTTGGATGTTAAGGGCTGCAGCGCTAATCTTAGCAACACTTGTCATGCTAATCTAATGTCGTCTGTGTGCAATAATACAATGTGTTCCAAATTTGAGCAGTATTGAAAACATGATGCAATTATTAGAGAATGTGATTAACTGTTTTAAATCTTTCCTACATATTTATACATGCAGTGTTTAACCTCATCTGTTGGCTGTTTATTTTTCTCTTTACATTTAGTCGAATATTATATTACACAGCAGGAACTTCTCTGGTGTTTAGACATCAACCGGATGGTAAATGGTATTCTACCCAACACATCTTACTTAAACAAGCTCTTTTTATTCTCCTATGAGCACATCGGAGAGGGACTTGGGGTCCTGAAATGAAGCTTAATGCAAAGCTAAAATGTGACAGCTAAAAACAAGCACTCGTGTGGATTAGCGTGTCACTGCTCGTTACTGATGGACCTGTTTGCAGAAAATATCATCTGCCGGCATCTTGTGCCATCAGCAAACACAAGACGCTGAGTATCAAACCTCAATATGATTTTAAGGTTTTAACCTTCTTAAGGTTGAGTCCATGGGAGATGTTGTCAGCTGTCAGGAAGGCGGAGACAAGATGAGTGATGGAACCCGCCTCTCCACAATGGGGACGGAACAGGAAGGTGTTCAGTCCTCTTTGCCTGTAGAACGATCCATAATTACTTTGTGCACTACTACATGGAAACCACGTAGCATTAAATGAGATTAATGGGCAGGGCTTACTTGCGGAGGTTGTTGAGAACCATTATGTTGGCATACATGTAGAACAGATAATAGGTGTAGGGAGGATTGTCATCTGTGGTCCATGCCTCAGGCTTCGGGCTCTTGTAAGAGAACATGTGGTCGCTGTGTTTAGATTCGTCATCCACGCTGTCAAATCCCGTCACCTACAGGAAAACAGATTCTCATCAGCACATTTGCAAAACATAAAGTATATGTAACACAACACTGAAATGAACGGACAGACGTGGATACATTTGTTTGTTTCCTTGCAGTTTATTGAAACAATGAATCATTTCAGTGGAATTCACCAAAACGAGCTCCAAAGTTTCTAAGAAAATGTCCTTTGGACTGAGGAGAAAGAGCTGGAGCTTTTTAGCCACCCACATCAGCTCTTTGTTGAAAGGAAAAATGAACCCTTATAAGAGAAGAACACCAAGACTACTGTGAAACATGTAAGGGGATGCTTTTGTTTTGGGGCAGCTTTGTTTCATCTGACACAGGAAACATATAATCTGGGCAGAGCACAATGAAGTCTAGAGAGTACCAAAGCATGCTGGTGTGAAAAATACTGCTCAGTGTCAGAAAGCTCAGCCTCAGTCGCAGGTCATAGATAATGACCCAATACATGCAGCTAAAAGCATGTATAGCTGGGAATAAAACTTTGGACTATTCTTAAATGGCACTCCATGAGACAGGATCTTAATCCTATTAAGCATCTATGGAAACATCTGAAAGTGCAGTGTGGAGTCAGCATCCTTCAAACATGAGAGAGTGGGCCAAACTACCTGTTGTTTGGAAATGCAGACGTCTTATTGTGAAGTACAGAGATCACTTGTTGGTACTGATGGCTGCAAAAGGTG